ATAAGAAAATCTAAAATTGTCATATAATTTGACAAAGTCGCCTCCCCTACTGGTATCGCCTTTGAGCGTCAGAAACGTAGCCTAACCAAAATAAGCTAGGACGTGCTTCGTACGTGAATTTCCTCCGCTTGTGTTGTGTCTAGTGGCATTTTCCAGGGTTCCGTGTTCTCGAGCATCTGCTTAATAAGTAAATAACTGTAAGATACAGATTATAAATAAGTAGAATTCGCTATGGAAGAATAATATACGGTCTTACCTTTGCAATTGTATCAAAGAAGGTTATGTCCTGTACGGGATGAGAGAGAGTTTTTACGACAATTACCTCTTCTGGTATAAGGCATAAAACTTTCTGTGTTCGTTATACCGATTGAAACAAGATTAATTATTATCTGTAGTTTACGCGAGTAGTACACATTTTAATAAAACACTATAACCGTTTAAAACAAGGCATATATCAGTTAAACTTTTTTACACATTATTTTCGGATGCTTTGCATCGGCCGTGGAACAGGACGTCGGGCGGTATTTAATTATAATTTGTAAATAAGTTTAAGTAATATATTTTGCGTTTACAACCGTTAAAGTGTTATTCGAATCCAGCACATTCTCGTGCCACGATAAGAAACCAGAACCAAATTTTGGTGTTTATATATTCCCCGTCGTTACATTAGATGTACACTATAACTATCCTAAAAATAGCCACCACTCATTTTTTAAAAGACCGCCTTTGATAACGTGTTGCAACCCGAATTTCATTATGAATTAACAGTTCGGTAACAAGAGTTTTAAAACAAAGATGTTCACACATCCTGTTCGCTCGCTCACACGTATCGTATGTATGATAATAAAGTTAGTATTTCGCGATGTACCAACTCACTGAGCTAGATAAAAGTTTATTGCGTAATTTCAGCTCGTTCTTCTTTACATCTAGATTCGTTTGTTTATATTATTTATATTTTATTCCTAGGGTTAGTAATGTAATTGACATTTACAACAAAAAAGCAAGGTTATGAAAGCCTGTTAGAATGTAACATATAAATTTATTTTAATTTTATTTTTGTAATGACATTCATTTTATGCAGTTCATTTGATGGAAGGTGAAAAACCCCAGCCATATAACATCTAAACAAGATGCGCTGTCGCCTTATTTGACTTTCAATGTTCGGAAATTCACAGACTGAAACCGAAACGCGATTAAATGTTCACGGCTTTTTTATCTGTGGAAGGTGGTTCGTGCCCTGGACGGAATTTCTAATATTCCTACCACCCCTTTTAATATCCAGATAAAAAGGAAGCTTAGGAAAATTAAATTAAAAGGATCGAACCCACTTCCCATTGAATATTAAGCGTACATTGCTTTACCATTAGACCAATGAGGCCGTCAAATTCATTTTCATTCGAAATAATAATTTTTATATATATAAACTAACGATCCGCTCCGGCTTCGCTCGGGTGCAATGCTAATTCTAAATACATTACAGGAAAACTGTAAACGTTGTGTATAAAAACCTTCCTCCTTAATCACTCTATCTATTAAAAATCGCATCAAAATCAGCTGCGTAGTTTTAAACAGTTATGTGTACACGGCGACTAAAAAGCGACTTTGTTTTATACTATGTAGTGAAGATCTCGCTAAAACGCAGTTAGTGCACATACTAGTACTATTATAATCTGTGGATAATAAAAAGATTAACAACATGAAAAGCACACAGATTCAAAACACGTTTGCATAATTACGAGCGTGGAATAGGAGTTTCAATTGACAAACCTCGCAGTGAAATAAAATGAGGTTTCTTAATATTCCCTAGGCCCCGCGCTTATACAACGAGCTCAAAACTAGGCCAAATAATCTAGCCTATCTGCAGAGATAGCGAAATGTCGTGATAACCTGCGAGCGTTATCATTCCGTTTCGTTTTGTCGTAACTAAATGGAATAACCGTTTCAGCTTCTTAAACGATTTTTCGATATTGACTATTTGAATATCGAATTAGCAATCCAGACAAGTCTGTATAGGCGCAATAAATAAATAATTTAACGATGTCTGTGCTCGGAATCGATAAATGTTATTACTGTCTGTAAGTGTGATATGTATATTCTCATGAAATAACAAAAGAATAATCGAAATAGCGGACTTCTAATTGTCTTTAAGAATACAAGTAATACTTATTTCTAAAACTGTTGGCTTATATTAAATACAATTTTACTTGAACTAAATATATCTATCAATCACTTTCAACATCTTTAACGGGTCGTTTAAAAGCGATAAAATTTTAGTTAAAAGGTCTTGATTCTATCCCCAACGGTCCAAAATGTTTTTTAACTAATCAATCCAGACTGTGTATAGTTTCGGAGTAGTGCACATTTGAAGTAGAACCGTGGTCAACCGGGGGACTAAAATGCTTGAGGATGTTTTAATGGCTTCTCTGACGTCAAAGTAATAATTGCTACTTTGACTATCGCCATCTTAATGGGCGAAATAAAAATCATTTACTTTAAGTTTAACCAATTTATCGCGTTTTAAACCGTTAAAGTGTTTTATTTAAATCAATTTAAATTTTGCTAAAACACTTTATGGAGGTAGGAATATTAATATTTTGGGGGAAAAAAAAAAAAAAAAAAAAAAAAAAAAAACCCGGGGGGGGGTTTGGGGGGGGGGGGGGAAAAACACAAAAAAAAAAAAAAAAAAAAGCCCCCCCGGGGGGGGGAACACCCCGGGGGAAAAAACCCCCCCCCCCCCCCCCCCCCCCCCCCCCTTTTTTTTTTTAAAAAAATTTTTGGGGGGGGAACCCCCCCAAAAAAAGCGGGGGGGAAAAAAAAAAAAATTTTTTTGGGTTTTTTTTCAACCTTTTTTTTAAAAATGGGGGGGAAAAAAATTCAAGGGCGCAAAAGGAAAAAATGAAGGAAAGGAAAAAAAACCAACAAAAAAAAAACACTTTGTTTAATTAAATAACACAAGTTAAAGTAATTTAAGAACCGAGTAAAAAAAAACAAAATGTTATAATTAATTACTATTTCTCTATTTCCCGCAAAATTAAAAAAAAATATTTAGAATATTACTTTAGTCTTAGTTCTCGTTTAACTCACTCAGACAAATTGCACCACGAAAAAATCTACATTTATTTATGTGTAATTATAATAATGTAAAATATTATTATTCTAGTCTGTAATGTAATTTAAGAGACTTCAGCTCTCCTTTAAGTTACTTCTCGACCTACAATTACAAATCAACGCTCCACATTTCATAATAATCAGCCTTAATTCATAAAACCTGCAACATTGTAATAAATTATACCACGCAAACAGCGAAGTAGAACAAATAAGAAATTGTAGAAATACAGAAATTCAAAGCAACATTTGAATACCCAGGAGCAAGTTAAACACTTGAGAGATTTAAACAGCAAGATTTCAGGGTATGTAGAGTGTGATAATTAAGTGATCGCTGTGGAAATAGGGCAACATAGTTACGCTTTTGCGATGGCAACACGAGTGGGTATGGGTCACGGCTCGTGCATCCTTTTCGATAAAGTGGGGCAAGCTTCTGCGAGTGTCCAGCAAAATCTACCTGATGAATAACGAGGAGAGATAAGATATTTACTCTGAATATAAATTAATGATGATGATTTTTGTAGATACTACGTATTAGTGTTAGTTAGGTTTGTCAGGGTTTTATTATACTTTTCTCGTTCACAGGGGTTCAATAAGATTTGGTATTTGACTAATTTTTCTTCCGTGAAAACTAGGAATTTAAATAATTTCTTGTCTGAAATGAAACTTTTAAATATGCATATAACATATTATGTTGTCTCCTCTGTAGCTTGATTGTTAAGCGCCGAGCTTTGAGTTAAGCGTCGGAAGATCTCGGTTCGAATTCAAAACGATAAATTGTCGGTCGAATAGGACACAGAACTCTGGTTAGTGATGCGGACCCAAAAACGAGAATTTCGCTTTAATGCATGTGTTGTAAAAATTGGTATTGTGTATCGATATCAACATAAATAAACAATTTGTTATTATATTGTACCAAACTAAACTCCAATAAGATTCACACAAAAGACTACGGATCAATGGAATCTGAAGATTTAGTGAAAGCTTAAATATTACGCGAGAGGAAAGTTATTAAAAAAGTTACGTTCGCTCGAATGAACCTCGACACTCCTAGTTTCAGTTACCTAAATGAGATAAAACAGGTTCAAGAAGTTTAATGAGTAACAGCTTTAGGAAAAGTAAACTTCGCACCGTTTCCCCGTTTGTGGGTAATTAACTGTTGTACTAAGTAAACACAGAGCTATGTTACATGCACGCAAGGAAAACACAGGGACATTACGGTTTTGAAGCAACCGTAATGTTCGGTTGAGTTTCAATATATAGTTTGTGGAATTAGCTAATATTGTGCGATAGAGTTACGAAATAAGTAACGTTACTTTATAACACTCTATCGGGTGGATAGACTGCTACATACATTAATTAATAGTAATTCAAAATAGTGTCTGTAGTTAATGCGAGTAGTACACATTTAAAACATACACTTTAACAGTTTAAAACGCGATATATATTAGTTAAACTTATTTGGAAATTATTTTAACTACGGCCCGACGTTTCGGATGCTTTTTAGCAGCCGTGGTCACAAGGAGACCTATGTATCGCGTTTTAAACCGTTAAATCCTTTTTATTTATTAAATATACCAAATATTCATCCAGCTGTAGCATCGGATCTCGTCCCCGCTAGCTCGTAGGTACCCATAAACTTTAAGCGAATTCCTCAGCGTTCGACATTTGAATAATGTAAACAATATAATGCACCCAAGGTAACTCGCGACGCGCACCTATGAAACGGAACGATTATGCTACAAAATGTCAAAAAGCAAAAGCACGTAGGTCTAGGGGCGGCGACCGCGACTCACCGAGGGACGAGGGGGGAATAGGGGAGCGTGGCCGCCAGTTTCTCGCCGTCTACCGCGCCGCGAGGACGCCCTGTGATGCGCCGCGCGCCCTGACGCGACATGGCCTCGTCTACGACCGGCAACATTGTCATCGAGTGGTTGCGTTCGCTGCACCTGGGCCAATACGCGGAGAGCTTCATCGACAACGGCTACGATGACCTAGAGATATGCAAGCAAGTCGGGGAACCGGACCTGGACGCGATCGGGGTTCTGAACCCGGCGCACCGTCAGAGACTCTTGCACTCGGTGAGAAGTTTGAGAGAGGAAGGTGCGGCTGCCGTTTATTTCACCTTGGAGGAGGCCGCCGCGGCCCGGGACTCGTGCAGGTGTGACGAGGAGGTCCGCAAGGAACAGGCGGTGGCGGCCGTCGAACCTGCGAAGTACGCGGACGAGTACGAGGAGGGGAAAGCGGAGCTGGTGAAGATCCCGCGTATCCAGCTGAAACGGCTTCTGCGGGAGCGTCTCGGTCAGGACGGGATCCGGTTGAGCCTGCAGCCATATTCCACCACGGTCAGTGCTAACTTGTGGCAGTGTCTCTTGCGGACGTTTGTGTCAAGTGTCAAGTGGCGGCAAAGTTTCGGCCCGCTTAGAGGCACTGCTTATCTTATTGTTTCCGTACAGTTTGTGCGCTACGTCTTGGACGCTCGAGGCGGGTGAGACGTTATAAAATTTCGTTGCGTGCGTGATTTCCCTGGAGATGAGAAGTTCGCGCGCCTTTCCTGTCGTGAGAAGATCGTAATCGCGTGCCTCTCGGCTCTAAATTGGGACTTACGATAAATCGCAGAGCCTTCGCTTTGGGCGTTAATTAGTAATACGATTCCTCTTAACACGAATAGGATATCGTTTTCGATTTAGGGGCGATAAGAGGATGAATTATTTAAATTAATTATTTATTAAATTCTCACACTCGAGGGACACTCTGTTGTGTTATGTGACGGATTATCGCAGTGCAATCTTAAAACTGAATTTTAATAACAACTGTTGTTATTAATAATAATAGCTTAGCGATTCATATTTCCTTAAAATATTTGATTTATACATTTTTAAACAGATGCCTATGGAAATATAGAATATTATTTAAAGTAACGAGAAAGGTTACAGTAACTGAATATAAAAAATCCCTCTCTAACAAACAAAAAAATGCCGCTTTCACCAAAAATAATTTTTGTCGATAACACTGAGAGCCGTTTTCTTTTAGCTAAATACAGATGACTTACAATAGACATAGAGCTCTTGTAATAAAACAAAAAAAATACATTGTCCTAGAAGACTAATCTGCCAGCGAAAAATACCAATAATTAACCGAACTCTGCGAGAGAGCAAAGATTAAATTTGCGATAACTATAATTGTGGAACGTTGAAAGCCCGTACTGCTAAAAACAGGTAGAGTTCCTCATTACTTCCTTCATCCTTGCCGGTTAAGTATTTATCCTTTACGACGTTTTACGAGCACTTTCCATATTTTCATATACAATGCGTTGTTTCTAATAATTTTCCTGGCTCGGTAATAGCTTTGCCTAGCGACAATAGGTCTTTAGGCTTCTACAATGTAACTCATACGACCTAGGTTTTGAAAGGTGTATAAATGTGAAGCGGTCAGCGTGATTTACTATCGGTCTAACGGATGGCCATATTTTACATACCTATTTCACAGAAACTGCGGTTGTTAGAATTCACAACAAGCCCTGTAAACTAGAAAGCGGTTAAATTCGAAATTGACGTGTATTGTTCAAAGAAAAACATTTTATGAAACCGGGATGACAGTAGTTACCTTATCATAAAATCATTATTTGAAAGCCTACGAAAATTCAATATAACATGGGAAGATGCTATGTTTCAAATTAACGAAATAAAATCCCCACTATTTTTTTATATTGCAACAAATAAGAACACAATTTTTTCAATAAGTCGCAACTTATTATATTTAAGTAGTTCATTCATAAACACCGTACTTATATTTCTAACTTAGTAACTTTTATAGAACACATATGTAGAGATAAGCATTCTTATATTGTAATTATAGTAAACGCGAAAAGTAATACATTTGGAATATTTTACGCAGAGCAAATAAACGTCTTGAATGAGTCAGATCTTTATCAAACACCTTATCTATAAAAATTGTGAAGCGGTTAGTCCGGCGTAAGTAATTATTGTTCGTTGATTTTTACCGGTTTCCGAAGTTGAGAACCTGTTCTCAGCGCTGGAAGCAGACGCGGAGAATTATAATATGAAGATAGATAAGCATTGTGACTATAGAATTGATTTCTCAATGGGTGACTGCGGTAAAGTTCATTTCTATTATAAATATACAACGTTATTGCTTTAATATTACACAGCATAAAGTAAAATTGCGAACTGTACAACCGTAGCTTAAATACTTAGGTAGGCGTTAAGATTAGTCTTACTAAACAAGTATTCGCGTTAGTATTCAAAATCAAATACACATTTAATAAAAATAATAATAAAAAAATCTTTATTGCACAAACATAGACATAAGAACATGGATACATAGAATTACATATACAAAATAAAACATGTTTGTGCAAAGGCGGCCTTATCGCCTATGGCGATTTCTTCCAGGCAACCTTTGCATGTAGAAATAAGAAACACATTTTGTCAACTTAGTGTTTTACGCTACGTTTTATATACACATCAAATTCCAATCTTCTCTTCCATTTGTTATCGCAATTAAATTACAATGGAATTTTTAAAATAAAAAAAACAAACATTGCGTTTTAACATTTAAATTATAGTGTCGCGAAAAGTGAATACCGCTTCCATTCACTTAGTGTACACTGCATAAATAATCCCAAAGCTATCGCATTCACGTGTTTACAGTGACTCTGAACCCACCCTCACTGGGTACCTGGGAACATTCCTTTTATGCGTTCATCCCAAACAATCCGTTAGTTTTTGCGTTGGTCCATTTGTCGAGCGATTACCGCCGGAACTGGGCACAAAGCGCGGACAAATTCGACGGAGTATCAATATCGTAGTTCCGACTATTAGTCCAATATTTATGTCGCGTCGACGTCCATTGTTCTGGTGGTATCGGTTACTTTTATTTAGTTGCTCGCTAATTGGTGGCTAATAACATTACATGTATACTAGACGTACTATAGGCAAAAAATAACTGAGCATTATTGTTTTCACATCTACGTGTACAACATAGCATGTATATTATGTTTTAAATTGGCCATAGTGTGCATTTTCGTTTCGTTATGTTAGTTTTAATATAAAATATACGATTGTATTTGGCAATCAAAAGTAGTCTATATGTTACTTCTACTTTCAACGTGATACAAAAAAAATCTATTTAACTTAAAAAAATGCAATAAGAGGCATGCACATAATTAAACGTTACGTGCTCCTGATCTAACCAATTGAGCTACAGTGCCACAAAAATTCATACATCCTCGCGAACTTTCGCAGTTATAATATTAATAGGATTATTTTCACAATTGTCAATTGTCTCTTAAATTAATTATTTTGGTATTTATTTATATATATATTGATTTCCTGAATAATTTTGAAAGTAACTAAATAGAGTTATTGAATTTGTTTCATCTTATGCATGACAGTAGTGAGGTGAATGAAAAATTACTTCGCAAAAATAATTCAATTTAAATTTCATCATAGACAGATGTCGCTAGTATCGTTAGCTTGTAACCACCCTCGTAAGCCGTAACTGATAGTGTGCTTTGTACTTATTGATCCCATTATGATCAATCGTTTCCTCCATTCCGCCATTTCTATAGAGGCACAGCGGATGTAACGGATTATGGCAACATTAACGCCTTAATAATCGTTTATTCAGGCGTTAATGATGGTACAGATCCCGTTTCATTGAAATACGTCCCATGTCGCAAATGTAGCTAAGTGTGGACAAGTCCTTTTGGGAGCCTTAGCCAGAAATGGGTAGATTCCAGTTTGAAACGATGAAAAATTCGGTTTAAATTAATAGTTTAACTTAATGCTGTCTGTAGTTTACGCAAGTAGTATTTAAATAAAATACTATAACGGGTTAAAACGCGATATATATTGGTCAAACTTATTTCAAGCCTTGGCAACGGGGAGACGGCCGCTGCATAGAATCCGAAACGTCGGGATGTAGTTAAAATAATTTAAAAATAAGTTTTTTTTGTGTTTTCTTTTTATTAATTTAACTTAGTATCTAATAAAAATATGTGTATTGCTATAAGCTTGTTTGATCCATGTATTAAGTATAAGATGTTTCTATAATACAAAACGAAAGCCAAGTAGACTAACACCGTAACGTGTTACGTAACAAAGCAATTTACTTGTCCATAAGGCACTATTACTATAAAATCTCTGTACTTAGAAATTACTGATTAAATAATATTAACATTTATATAATAACTCAATTTATATAATTCATAATACTAGGGTTTACTTTGGTTCTCTATTTTGATTTTCTATAAAATAAGTTATTTCTAGATTCGCAAGCGCACCTATTTTGAATTGATTTACTTTGATCAATATCCGTGCGTTCTAATTTTGAATTCTAAGATCAAGTTAAGCAAATTCCAAGTGGACATTACGACATTTTCCGGGGTAATAAATATGAAGTACAAAGACAAGAATTAGATAAGCTTGGGTTGAGTTACGGTATTTAAGCTTTCCCGAGAACTAGTAATTGTAAATTGGAAAAGGTGACGGGGGAAGTGCAAACGGTGTTTTAAAATTTCGTTCAAATTTCGAAGCAAATACCTAAAAAGCATATTACGTTTCTGTATGTTACACAAATAGTGCATACAATAAATAAAGCCATTTAAACGGTATCAATGTTAACTACGTGCTATAAACTATTTTTAATTTTAGCAAAGGCGGTTATCTTAATATATAAGGCACTTAACCAATACTTATGTAACTTAAAATTCAAAATTCGAATAATGTATTCCACACCTAAGTGTATATATACAATAATAACAAATGAATTACATACAACTAAATTTATGAAAGAAAAAATAACATACATAAAAATTTTACTGTACTGCGATGTTGCTGCAGTAACAGGTGAGTGTTTTGTAGCAAAAGAATAAAGTCACCAAATAAACTTAAGTTTTTTTTATAAAAAGTACCCGGCTGTTTGAGTTTTTTTTATTGTAATTCCTTTTTTTAACGAACGCATTACATAGTTCTGCTCAGTTCAAGATATTCGTTTATAGATGTTCTTAGATAATTGAACGAATAAAAAGATCTTAATTATTCAGCAGTGCAGCTAGGTCCGCAGCAAAAAACGAGCATCCAGTACCTGGGCACATCAGAATAATTTTATGTAAATGAGACGAGGGTACTAAAGGTCACTCGATGCTAAAATACCCAATAACGAACAAGATTGCAAACATTTTGCCGAGTTAATTTATGTGTTTTCTTTTTAATTCTTGCACGCGAACCTAATGTGATAATTGTAGGGATCACGTATGTCAAGCAATTACTTTTAATTTTTAATTCGGTATATCCAAAGCAAGAATAGGACGACAACCCATCTTGTTTGGATGTTGCATGGCTGGGGTATTTAACCTTCGATCAAGTGCTTGTCTGTCCTCCTTTGTCGTAAAAAAAATAATCATACTAGCATACTGCTTCGACTAGTACACACAGTAGTAGTGATACCGATATTGTGTTGAAAATAA